GATTATGTGTGTGTGTGTGTGTATCATTGTTTTCATGCCTAATTATCTAATTCTAAAAACATAAAACTTCACTATCCAGTTCCAAATAGATGAAAATAAAATGTAAGCAATAAGTGTCATAAAGATAGGTTCTTCTGTCTCAGAAATCTGGGGTTATAAAGGCCAGTTATGCCACTGTAGAGTCTTTGTCCCTAAGCTGATTCTTTCTGGGAACTAATATGATTCCAATAAATTCCTATTCTGTTTAAATCAGTCAGTCAATTTCAGTTGCTTAAAACTAAGAACACTGATTGACACAGTGTACAGATAAGCTTTAGGGGGTTCATGAACTCCTTAAACCCTACATGAAATACTTAACACACACGTGTGCACATACATGCACATACCTGCACACACATGTGGAGGGTTTCTGGGGAGAGGTTCCGTAGTTTATGTCAAGGGAATCCATGCTACGACTTGGGCCTATATGTGTGAGGGAGGACAATGCAACACATCCTTCCTAGATACGAGTACATTGTAGTTGAACTTTGCCATCTCTGGAAACAAATTTTTTTTTATGTGGAAATGTGGAAGATTTTAATTTTAAACTGAACCAGAATTAACAGATTGATTCACACAGAAAGAAGTAGCATAAAGAGGGTCAAGCAAAAGGAGATAGTGCTTGAGAAATGGTATATTATAAAGATAACCCCCTTGTTGGGAGAGGAGAAGAGCCTAAATGCCTTCAAGATGAGTCAAAGAATAGCAAATCAACTGACAAGGGATAGAAGAGTTCAATGATATCTGCAGCTGAAACACAGGGTAGCAAGCATCCAACAAGATGGACTGGGTGACTGTGGGTAAAGAGCTGTGGGCATGTCAAGAGACCACACCTGTAAGCCAGCCAGCCTTGGCTTTTCCAAGAGCCAGGCTGGGAAAATTAGTCGAGGAGAGAAGGTGAAACTGGTTAGAATGAATCATTAACTATTATGTTAATCCAAGTTGAACTCGGTGATTAAATGAATAGTTACAGAGAATTGCCTACTGGTATGTGAGCATGAAGTCTACATCTTAATTTTTTGGGTTCAAAAATGCAGCTGTTTCCAAGTGATCAAGGTCAATATCAATAATGACAAGTCAGACTGATGGGATGTATCTTTGATAAGATGTGATGAAAACGGCACTTTACCTTTCTGGTCTTCCTCCCCCAAACTCGTAACTCAGTCTAATCATGAGACAAATATCAGAAAAATCCCAATTGAGTAAGACATTCTACAAAACACCTGACTCCCCAAACTGCCAAGGTCATCAAAACCAAGTCTGAGAAACTGTCACAGCCCAGGGGAGCCTAAGGAGATGAGACGATTAAATGTAACTAGTACCCTGGACAGAAAAAGGATTTTAGGTAGAAATTAAGGAAATCTGAATAAAGTATGGACTTTAGTTAACAATAATGTATCAATATTGGTTCAATAGTAACAGATATACCATACTTGTGTAAGACATTAATAAGAGGAGAAATTGGGTGTGGGGTGTATAGGATCTCACTCTACTATCTCAGCAATTTTCCTGTAAATCTAAAACTGTTGTAAATTTATATAGGTTTTTAAAACGCAGTTTCATTTCACTTACTAACCTTGAGCAAGTTACTTACCCTTTTTGTGCCTCACTGGCCTCATCTGTATAATTAGAATGATAATAGTAGCAATCTAACTCAGAAATTTGTAAAGATTAAATGAGTTAATATAGTACTAAAATGCTTAGAACAGTGTCTCACAGAGAGTAAGTACCCTGTCAATATGAGCTATTATTTTTTGTGTATACTGTAGAGTAATATTTCATATACATTGACTAAAAATAGTCTGACATGTAAAATATTAAACCCTAACTTTATAAACAAAGTTTGAAATAAGAGATTTCACCCAATATGTCAAAATTACATAATTTCAAAGCTGGCAAATCAAGTAAAGTGTAAACTGTGTTTATACTATAGGCACATGGTGAGCCACCATGTAAACCTTGCGGCCCTGGTGAAAATTCATCCTGAGTGAAAGTCTTAGGAACTTACTGCTCACACAGAAGGTGACAACTCTGTTGCTTAAGATCTAAAATTCTTCATGGTGTAAAAAACAGAGTTTGTATTTGAACAATGAAGTAATGGCTTAGATGATTCCTATGGAGAAAAAGTGGCGAGGCTACAGACCCAAGACCAAAGTTAAAAGGTGAGAAACTTTTAAATCACTTAGATGTGTGGCAGCAGAAATCACCCTAAGTCTAAGTCTCAAGAAGACATTTCTCCTGCATAGACTGCAACTGATCAAACACATTAGCAACATGTGATGCCTCCTAACTTCCACTTTCAATTAAATTGTCTACCCACTGTAGGTATATGTATAAATACACTCAACTGATTTCCTCTTTTTCTAATAACTCAAAATTTCAGTCTAAGTTCTGAGATCTGTGTAAGTATTACGGCCATGTAAATGAGAAATTTTCCATATATCTTATGTATTTTCCCATTATGCCTTCAATATTTTAAGATATCAATCTATATAGTATATGCAAATAAAATGTTTACTATATATTTTATTATTTGCACATATTATATAAGAAAAAGAACTATTCCCAAGTTATATACAAAATTTGATGAATGTCAGTGTAGCTTTTTTTTGACATTAATGGTGATAGTTTTTGATTTGTTTTACAGTAGAGGGCAACCACCTAGAGAGATTGCTCACTTAATCAAAAAGCTGGAGGAAAATAAATGTATCCTCATGACAAAGATCAAAGACTCAGAGCTGAAGGATCAAAGGAGAATGTGAGAATTAAATATATTTAATCTAGAAAAAAGTGGAAAAGTGAAAGTATACACACAATTGACATACCTAAAATCTAGAATGTCTTTTACTTTTTTGCAGTAAGATGTTAAGATAGAAATTTCAATCCATCAAGAATATTAAATATCTTTCACACATTTCCTCTCTTATATCTAAAAATCAGAAACATTTTCTTTAATCCCTTTTATTTTCAAAATGATATTTTAGAAATTGTTTGGTGACTACAGATGTAAACTGTTTACTCCCCATCTTGTTATTTACTTTCAATTTTCTTGATTAGCATTTTTAAAACAACTAGCATGTTAAAACAATTAGTATTTTTAAAACAATTTATTTTAGATTTAAAGAGTTTCTTATTTTTATAACTTCTCTAAATAAAAATGTCAGTTATGTTCTTGAAGGATGAACATAGCAATCTCTTAATGTAAAAAAAAGCAATCTTTTTCTGTCATAATGAATATCCCATCAAGATATTTCAATATGGATTCTACAGAATAGATTAACTTAATTTCAGTAATCATTAGCTATGCAAATTACCTTTGCTCTAAGGAAGTAAATTATACCATGTGTGTATAACCTTTCTAAGATTATACATGTATATAAGTTTTATACTCATATTATGTATAATCTCTCCAGGTAGTAGATACACGTTAAGGTTTTTATACTTAGGCTGGTAAATTAATGAATGTTTTGTTTTTTTTCTAATTTTGTTAAAAATGTTCTTGATACTTTGTATTGATTTCCAAATGAAAAGATGATTACTCTTCAGTTTCCCACAAAAATGATAAACCCTGAACCTTTTACTATATAAATTACTCTCTTTATGGCAACAAGTACCCAAAGAAAATACAAAACAATCAAACCATATTAACTCAATTGCTCTCCATATTAAAATTATTAGTGGCTCCTATTCCCTTAAGATACTGCTAAATCATGAACTAATTTTAAAAATTGTAATTAAATACACTAGTTACCTATGTAGAGATATTCCCCTCTCTTCATTATACATATGATTATAGATGACTGGTCTATATTTATTATTATTCCAACACCACAGTTCAGAATTCCATATTCTGAAGATTAGAAGAGAAGGTGGTAAATATTCCCCAGTAAGAGATTATTGAATATATGAACTCATTTTGTCTCCATCTCTTATTATGCCTATATTAATAATAACCAACATACAAATTACAAGTGTTATTAAAACCTGCAGAGAAATTTTAGAAGAAAAAGGATCCAGTAATCAATTTAGAAAAATAATAAGCCTTTAAATATTTTTGAATGAAGATGATCAGAAAGATGACTTTCAAGGCTCTAACTTGTTACATAATATGCTATAGTAGTTTAAACTGATTAAGAAAATTTATTTCAAAGATAAGCCTGGCTCCACATGGGTGAAGATAAAGTCACTACAAAATTACCAATTTTTCTCTTCTCAAACTCATTTCCCCTTATTTTTGCCCCCTTTTCACTAGCCAATCACACACAACTAGCTCTTCTATGTTCCCTTATATGTTACTGAAGGAATGTCCTTCATTTCCCTAAAGAGCACAATTTTCAGTGAAGTGAAGATAACAGGAATTAGTAGCTGTCATCTTAGGAAGAGACATGTTACTGTATTCTCTGTATTACTCTGAAGGGCTGCGACATAGGACAAAGAGAAATAATAAGAAAAATATTATTGACAACTGCAAGGGTGTAAAAAATTATTGGCAACTGCAATGTGCATCTCCTTGTAAAGTCTTTCATTTTCATTAAAATTAAAACATGACTCTATAATCTGTTGCAAACTGAAATGTTCTAAAAATTTTTATATTATAGAAATGTCTTACAGTTTTGCTATAACTATAGAAGGTAAATGGATGAAGCAAACTGCAAAGCAATGATGCATAAAATTGCCACCATATATTATTTTCAAGGCAAAGCCAGATCTATATATGGAACGTAACATATTTCAAAAGCTATTTGTTGTCTTTATAATTTTATAGAATTAAAGTCAATATTAGAACAATTTTTTAAACCCCAGCAAAAGTACTACATATGCATACCAAGATATTATATATGTGTATATATGTAGATATATATATATAAAATCATAGATTTTAAATAATAATACTAAATTATTTTAAACAGTATAGAGAATATACCCCACACCCCACTTCTAACAGTAAGAAAATAATAGACCTGCATGAACTGGAATCAGATTCATTTTCTTCTTCACTAGTGCCGTCATCCACTTCTGGTCTATCCAGCCAATGTGCACCGCCACAATCTTCTGCTGTAAACTCAAATGCAGGGACTTCAGAGGTGGATGCCATTGGCCAAGAAGGTGAATTCTGAAAATCCAGTTGGCTGGACCTTCGGTAACCAATTGAAGCCAAAGGCAATTGTAGGCTACATGAATCTAAAAACTTTCTCCCACCGTTTGCTCTGGTCTGTCCTCGATTCCAAAATTCTCCCTGCTGGCTGTCAACTGTAGAATTAGGAGATGATGCTTGATGGCTAAACCACCTCCATCTGATTTTCAAAATCTGCTTCACATCAAACTCTTTACGAGAACCAGACATCCTCAGAGAAACCAAGTGATCGTCTAGGCAACGGGCAAAAAGCACTGCACACAGATTTGTGCATCCAACCAAGACAAGAGAAGTATATGCCCTGCTGTACACAATAAACAAATTGAAAGGAAAATAAATCACATTCACATATATATCTACATTTACTTTTATACCAATATATCACATTATAAAGAACAAAGGACAATGAAAAAAGATGAGACACGGTGGAACATTCCGTTCAATCAGAGCAAACTCTCATCCACCTATCCTGAAGCAGCTAGACCACTTTCCCCTGCTCTCCTTTCCCATACTGACCATTAGCTCCCGCAAACACTGACAGCATTCATTAAAGTCCTTTCAAATGCAGAACACCACCCCCTTTTCTTAAACCACAAATGAGAGACAGAAAGCACTATCCCGTCGCAGTATCTCAGTCTCTGCTGCTTAGTATATTAACTCTTTTATTGCTGAAACAAGAAATGTAGTCCACAGCATTCTCCTTTGTATCTAAAAAATCACTGTAAAACTAAAGTGTTCCTATTTTTATTCTAAGTTCCTAAGTGAGCTATCATAAAACATTTTTTTTAATTTAAAGCATTTTAAAATTAGATGAGTTAGATTTTTCAAGCTGTGCTCTTTGGATGAGGGGCGAGGAAGGAGGAGGAATAAAAAGGTGGGGTTCCCGTTCACTGCTCTCCACCTCTATCTTCTTTCTTCAGAAGAAGAGTGTATTTCATTAATATAGGAAGATCCTGGTAAGATTTAATTTGAGCAAAGAATATTGCGAACAAGGAGAAAGACAAAGTTAGAAAACTACAAAGGACCAAACTATAACAGTACTTACTCTTTTTCAAATAAATAACCCGAAGTCAATATTGGTCTATAATTAGGATTGGGCCACGTTGATTTAGTACAATAGCCAGATTTCTATGACACTACTTAGGAAAAGGAAAGTGTAGCTCCAGAAAGCTCCCTAGGACTGGGACAGGATTATTTCTTGGGTGTATAAGTACCCTAATGGTGCCCCCTGTTGTTAGCAAAACAGAACAATGGTCTGATCATGGTTATAGCTTGAATCAATAAAGCAAATTCAAAAAATCAATCAAATGCAATCAAAATTTAAAATACTGCACAGCTACTGTGAGCAAGACACTCTACTAGGCATTGGAAGGGACAGATATATACATCTTGGTTCCTAACCTCAAAAATAATTGAGTTACTGAAACAAAAATATTTGATAACTTAAATATAAGAAACACTATAATGCTGCAGTATGAACATTTTATAATCTACAAATACAAAATTTGAGTTTTCAGGGTGCTCAATATCTAATGCTCCATCAAATAGTTTTACTCAAAAGGCAAATACTATTATCAAATGAGCGAAGTGGGGAAAAGATCTGCTTTGGAGGATTACAAAAAATACTGTGAGGCAAGTATCTTAACCTCACAAAGCTCTTTAGGAGAATAAAAATTATTCAGAGAAATAAGAATGAGCGGAATGAAAAGCCATATATAACCTGTGCTAAACACCACAGGACAAACCATAAATACTATCAGAGAAACAGGAAATGTCAAGATTGTGTGAAGTGCTATGGGCCAATTTCATTAGAGAAAAGGCTTCTAAGAATACTAAGAAATTGTATAGGCAGGATGGTGAAAGATTTTATAAAGGAAGAAAGATACTAATAAAAGAAAGAAGTGAGCATATTGACAACGACAGACAGGGAAATACCAGTTTGATCAGCCAGCCAGACATACTTAATTAATTTTAAGGAGTAGTGAGAGATAAGGATGGATGCATAAAATGAGATAGAATGCCGTGAGCACCCAGCAAAGATATAAAGGCTAGCAGGCAATGTTAAGTGGACTGCTGAACAGGGCAATGTTTTAGAAAATGAATTTGGCGGTAATATGCAGGATGCCTTAGAGAGTGATCGACACTTCTTCCTCTACTCTCACCTCTGTCACACTCCTTTTCTCAACACCCTTCTACCTCCACTCTACCTATCCAACTTCGTTTCTAACTATTTTCCAACAGAGACACATACTTCATCAGTTAAGACAGGGTCTATGTTATATTGCTTCCTCTTTCATATGCTGTTTGTGTCCCAGTTTCTCTGGTTTTGAAAACCTATTCATCCTTCAAGGTTTAGCAGAGGCACTGGTGCCCTGAGAATGGCTTCTCCAATTACTCTAGCCTTGTGGTTCTCAACAAGGGTAGCACCAACCCTCTGGTCTTGCATCCCAGAAAACCTTCTTGGAAGTAGGGGGGATAGATGTTTAGTTGCTGGAATGACCAGAGAGGGCTATGGGCATTGTATGGGCAGGGGCCAGAGATGGTAAACATCTTGCAGTGCACAGTATAGACCCACAATGAAGAAATGCCACTGCAGTAGTTCATAATGATCTTACCATCACTCTTCATTCGAGTAAGTATTTACCAAGCATTTATATGTACAAGGTACCACAAGAGGTAGAAAGATGAATAAGAAACAAATCTTTCTTTTAAGAAGGCTATACTCTGGCAGAGAAAAGAATAAGTGAACATTATAAAGAATACATTTTAATAAATATAATTTTATATAAATTAATTTTAAATTGGATTCATTCTGCCAATACGAGAACACTTACCAGAGAAGTCCACTTACAACGTGCTAGCTCCAATAGCTAATTTTAATTGTTTTGCTGTTTGGTGGATCAGATGAAGTCTGAACACAAGAATGGACTTCATTAAAGGCCACTGATATGCCAGATATTTCTCAATTTGATATGGAGAAGGAATCCAAAGACTTAAGGAGATATGGATGTTAAAATGTTAAACCATGCATCTACTCTCAAGAGGGGCCACAGACCCTTTTCACCAAGATATTGAGATATACATTAAATAAATACCTTTTTAATACAGTAGCTGTTCTGAGTAGGCTAGAGATACAGGTAGGAGATTAGTCACTGAAATAGGCTTTCTGATTTTAAAAGGGATACTAGGATTTGGGTTGGCAAAGGCCAAGTCCAATATTTAGCCCCTGCTGTCATAATCATGGGTTTAGTTACATGCATACATACATAATATACATACAATACAAAAAAACCCCAGCACCCCAATCTTTTGCATCAGTGGACTCATTCTGCATGTTTTCTTTTCCACTGAGACATTTATTTTGTCAGTTTTCCTCCAGTCATTCTTCCTGGCGATCGTGTTGACAGCCTGGTGTGCAGCCTTTCACACCTTTGTCCTTGTTTAATAAAAGCCATATCCAAACTTCTATACACATATACAGGGGATTTTGCTATTGTTTTATAAAAGAGATCAGATTGTATACATATTTTTGGCATTTTGCTTTTCTCACCAAAATTATATAGGAAATATAAACTAATAGTGATTTTTTAAATAGTTGCATAATATTTCATAATTATAAAATACAATTTATTAAACTATCTCCTTGCTAACGGACATGTGAACTGACTTCAGGTTTTTGTTTCTGTTAAATAAACATCCTTGTGAGACTTTTCTGTCTATAGAATTTATTCCCAGGAGTGGAACTGCTGGGCTGAAGGAATGAGTAGATAACTCACTTGCCTGAGATTCATGTTTTCAAAAGTGAAGTGAGGGCATCCTCACTTATTTTCATAGACCCACCAGTCAACAATGAATATTGTAATTCTTTAAACTCCTGATGACTACTGGGCTTAAGCATATTTTCATAGGTTTATAGACCATTTTGATTTGTAGTTCTCTGAACTAGCTACTTATACTTTTTGCCTATTTTTCTCTTGGGCTGTTTGATTTTTCCTTATCATCAACTAGAAGCTCTTTGTATATTAACTCTTTATCTGTCTTGTTTTACAAATACTTTTTCTAATCTATTTCCCAGATGGACAGCAACCATTAAAAACATTTTAAAATTAAAGTTTGACATGCAATAGAAAAATCTACAAATCGTAAGTAGAGAGCCCAATAAATTATCACAATATCAACCCTATTCAGGTTAAGAAAAGAAATATTACCAGCATTCAAAAGTCTTCCGCAAGCACCTTCAAAGGTAACCACCATCCTTAGCATAAATTAATTTTATCTGTTTTGAATCTCATATATTCTTTACTTACCATTGTTTTGAAATTAATCTGTGCTGTTGTGTGTAGCAGCTGATAGCTGGTTTTTATTCCACTGTATAAATATATGACCATCCAAATCCATTCATTGCTGACATTTGAGTTGTTTCTGATTTTAGACTTTTGCAAGTAATTCTATAAACATTTTTGTACATATGCATTCAACTTTGATTCTTGTTACTGATTTACACTCTTACAAGCAGCATATGGGAAGTCCAGTTACTCCATATGCAGCCAACACTTGTATTGTCAGACTTTAATTTTAGTCATGATGATGGTGGTGTAGTGGTACCCATTTGGTTTTACTTTACATTTCTCTGATTATTAATGTGGTTGAGTAACTTTTCATGTGAATTGGTCATTTGGCTCGTCTCTTTGTGAAAGGTCCTTTTTTAAATTCCCTTGCTCTCTTTTTTTTTTTTCTATTACCTTGTCTGTCTTTATCTTCTTGATTTGTAGGAGCTCTTTATATTTCTAATATGAGCCCTCAGGCTATTATCAACATCATTTTAATATAAGCCACCCTTTCCCACTAAGTTGAGGTATTATTTTTGTTACGAATTAGCTTCCCATATACAGAGATCAATTTCAGAATGCTAATTATGTTCCATTATTTGTCTATTTTATGCCAATATTGCAATGTTTTAATTACAGTACATTTACAATATGTTTAATATTTGTTAAAGCAAGTTCTTATTTCCATATATATTCTTTTAAAATAATTTTAAACCTAATTTTAATTATCTACTCTTCTGTGTATATACTTTAAAATAATATGACCCAATCCTCTCATCTGCAAAAAGCCCCAACCCTATTGAGATTCTAATCAGAACTGCATCAAATTTGTATGTTAATTTTGAGATGACTGGCATTTTATGACATTAAAATTTTTCTAGTAAATATAATCCAAGAATATATGTTTTATAGTTTGTTCAGATCTCATGCTTATCAATAAGATTTTTAAATCTTTTAAATATAGGTCCTGTGCATTTCTTATTAAATATTTTTGTCATGTTCTTTTCTTTTCTTTTTTTTTTCACTGTTGTAAATGCAATAATATCTTTCTGGTTTCATTTTCACATGACAGTTATTGCCATTGTAACAAAAGTTTGAGTACATTTATATTGTATTTAGTCATTTTATCACACTCCTTCATTAGCTATGACATTTTAAAATTAGTGTTCATTTCTTGTTAAGTTAGAGGTAACTCTGAGACATCTATGTGGAGACGTCAGATAGTTGGGTAAATGTTCCTGGAGCTCAGATCCAAGCTCCAAGGAACTCTAAAAGATAAACACACCAAAGGAGAC